GTCTTTATAATTTTCAGTTTATCATACAATTCCTTTAATTGTAAAATCATAACTTACCAAGCATTGCTGTCACATGGAGCATAAAACTTACAGATCATAACACACACATTATATTATTATTACATTTGGTTTTTATATCTTAGAGTCCACTAAATTAGTTTTTTATAACTTAGCGTCCACTAGAGAGGAATATAGTCAGTAGTCCTACCCGATTTGCAAGTAAGAATTATTTAATACGCACTTATCTGCACTGCACTTTCACTTCCTTTTTTTTTTGACGTAATTATTTCACTTTTATTTTACCCGCACATCACTATTTTTTTTTTTCACATTTTTACTTCACTGATGCCGTAGATTATGTTGCATCGTCATACGATGTCCTCGCTTTTTGCATCACGGCGGCCGCGACGAAAAATGGAAGAGCGCAGGTTTTGCCGATGTATTTCCTGCTGCATCCAGCGCCTATGACAATTCCTATACATTCGGTACAGGAAAGCAAGTAGACCAACTCCCAGAACCAATGCGATTACCGTCAGAATTATGCTAGCGGTGCTCAGATGAAACTTTATTTCCTCAAATGATGCCTGGTTGGACCCACCGATCGCGTTTTGGACGACAACTTTTTCTTCATATTTTGACTTTTAGGATCCCATATTGACAATTTTCGATGTATACGACAGCACTCAAGTGTACTACGATTGAGTCTAAATTGTTCATCTTGGTAACAACTAAAGTTCACTTATTGTTTTACATTCTTATACCAAAACAGTTCAGACTTCTGCGCGATAGGTATCACATACGCGACACTCGTATGACACCTTCTTTTGGCAGGGTCGCCATGTACGGTAGGCGTAAGGGAACGAAGTGAAACGAATGACTGCTGAGAATATACTGTGTTTTATTAATGAAATATAATTAACTTATACACTATTAGGATACAAAGATTATGATAATAGAGGGGACACTACAGGGCAATGTTTTTTTTAAAAAAAAAACAAAAAAACAATATTCAATAAAAAAACATTATTCTTCAAAATACTTACCTACATACATTATTATTCTCAGACCTAAATAATACGGTAGTTAACAGGTAGTCAAAATCAATACTTTTATTGAAATTGTCAAAAACGATACTTTTCTATGAATTTTGTATTGGACCGCTACTTATGACGTCATCATATTTCTGCGTCAAATAGCATACTTATTTCCTTAAAATTAGCGAGAAAAAATCCAAAAGTAGGTAAATTGTCAAATCAATGGTTTAGAGTATGATTATTTTTTGATTATTTATTGCATTGAAAAGTTGAAACAATTTATTTCAAACCTAGGAAACTGGCCAATTGTAGATATTATCTACGACTGAACATAGGCTTCCCCCAAATACCCCTAAATCGGCCGGTTGAAAGTAGCTCCCGAATTCATACATCTTCAATTAAAACTTTTTCACTAACAACTGGGCAAAATATTTAGTGTTTATTCCGCTGAAGAAATTAGTTTGTAGCAATATGAAGTAACGCCTAATTCTATTCTATATATTAAATCTTTTTTTGAATGGAGAAAATCATCCAATGACCTTTTCCCGCCCGGGTGAGCCGAGAGGGAGTGTCAGACTCTTATTGAATAGAAACCACCCCGTTCCTACTTCTGCTTTGCATGCCCGGCCCCGGTAACTGGCCCCTATCTGTGGTAGTCTGATGGCACTTTTAGGCGCGCGATCGTTTTAGCGCCCCGAAATCCACATAGACAAAATTTTAAGAAAATTGTTGAAGCCGTTTCCCAGATTGTTGATACATGATATACAAGAATTGCTCGTTTAAAGGTATGAATGAGGTAGATAGATTTTAATTAGGGATATACACACATATTGTATGAATCATGAAACTACATATATAAACATTTGATTTAACATAATATTCAAGTTTGCAAGATTTATTTACTTTTTATTTTATTTATTTATTTATTTATATATTTATTCATTTATTTATTTCTTTATTTAATGCAGATAGTTAAATTCCAATACGATAGTGTAGCCATCAGTCTTACCACATCTTTTAGTAATTACTTATTACCTAATTATAATTTAATTTAAACTTAACACTTAAACATACCTATATGATATATGATGATGATGTATATAAGATGTATTGTAATGTGTTGATAGATGATTAATATAGAAAGGCATCTGTCTAGACCCCCAGGTTAATATGAGTCATCTGATAGACTAATTAGTTTCACTTAATTAAGAATTAAATTGTAGAATCGAACTTTGATCTTGTTACGAGAAGAAAGTGCGACACGTGTTAATACTAATACCTGCTAGTATAGACTAAAGAATTTCTGTGTTTGGTTTCTAATAATGGATATTAGGTTATTTTTTTAACTCGATAATTTTATTAGAAATGAAAGAAAGAAAGAAAGAGAGAAAAACCATTTATTTTGCTACGACACACAACATGTATATATATAGGAGTATATATATAGTAATAGGTATATATATAGTTTTAATTGAGAGACTAATTATTACCAACTAGCGCCCCGTCCCGGCTTCGCACGGGGGGACTAAGGTCCCTTTTCACCAAGCTCTGTAAAAACTCAGTTACACGTAACCTAAGTTTAAAGTAACCTAAGTTCTGTGTTCTGTGTTTTCTGTACTGAGTTCCGTGTAAACTAGTTTCTGTTTGTAGCGGTGAAATGTAAAATGAAGCTGTAACTTCGTTTAAACGCTTTAAATTCGATTAGACGCTTTAAATCAGTTTTGTTAGGTGTAATCGTGATCAGTTTCGTTGGTGAAAAGGGACCTTAAGATTTTTTACATAGTTTTACGTTTTATTTATATTTATTCTCAGTTTTTTTTAGCGACCTGCCCTCCGTTGTCGATGTCGCGTCTTAAGGTAACCGATTGAACAATTCAAAAGTTATCTAGAGCAAACTTTTATAAGGATTGAACCATTCATTAAAACGATTGTTATGGGTAAACTATAAAAGGTAGACATATGCTCTCGCGGACTTTTTTAAAAATAATGTTAAGATAAACAATTCATCTATAGAACATTTTTGTATAACTTTAACTATATGCTCAGCGCACGCCACGGAAGGCCTCAGAAACGATACTTTTCCCCCGTTTTTAAAACATTTTTGGTTACTGCTCCACAACTATAGGACCTAGCGTGATATTATATAGCCTATGTTACTTCTGAATAATGCAGCTTTCGAATGGTGAAAAAATTATTGCAATCGGTTCAGTAGTTTTTGAGTTTATTCATTACAAACATACAAAAATACAAATCTTACGTTATAACATTTACCAAAAAGAAAAATAAAACTGAATTTAATTACTCCCTTGCTAATACTTTCCTGGTTAAAGTTAATTGTCTTCGTGATCTTGGGGTCCGGTTGGATTCGAAGCTACATTTAAATGTTCATATAGATGGAATAGTTAGTAAAGCATACCAAATGTATGGTTTCGTTATGAGGGCCTCTAGGGAGTTTCGTAGACCTTCCACCTTTTTGTATTTATACAAATCTATAATTAGACCTCAATTGGAGTTCGCAGTACCTATATGGAACCCGCTGTACAAGAAATATAATGATACTTTGGAGATGGTACAACGCAAATACATTCGTGCAGTTGGTTATAGATGTGATCGCAGAAGATCCTCATACTATCTATTACTTAAAAAGTATGATCTTCTAACATTACAGTCGCGACGAACGTTCCTGGACATTATGACTCTGTTTAGTGTGTGTCGCAATGGGTTCGATTGTCCTGACTTAATTAATAGTATATACTACCTGGTTCCTCGCACAGCTTATATACGGGAGGTGCGCGATCGGCGTTTGTTTGCCAATAACTATTGCAGAACCAATGCTGGCTCACGTTCGCCTCTTCATCGCATGGTTGAGGCTTACAGCGGTGAGTTTAACGGAATTGACATCCTATTTTTGAGTAAAAACGTTTTTAAGAGGCAAATTCGGACATCTCTTATGGATCGACAGTCTGTCTGTGACGCTGTGTGTGTGCGAAATTGTAAGAATTGTAAAAATTGTTAAAATTTGTTGGTGACCATTATAATTATTCATGTAAGTGGTGCATCGTAAATCTATGAAGGCTATTGTCTTTGTTTTCACATTAGTTTATTCTATTTGAAAATGTAACTATATTTGTGTCACTCTAGATCTAATATAAAAAGTAATCTGTGGAGAACGTAGTGGGTAACATATTTGCCAAGTATAATGTGTAAGCTGAATTATGTATATTTTGTAATATGTTACTGTTTGTTTTTCCTTAAATAAATAAATAAATAAATAAATAAATAAATAAATAAATCTTTCCTCTTTATAATATTAGTATAGATTTAATATTTTTTGGTAATTTTAATTTTATACGTGAACTGTTATTCAATTTTAACTATGGGAGTCATGCTTGAACACGAATGTGCTGATTCAACCGGAGTGATACCACGGCCTCCCAGGAAACTAACGTGAAACAACGCTTGTATTTCGTCGTTTGGGTGAAGTTACCGGAGGCCCAATTAGCCCCCTCCCCAGTCTCCCGAATCCCCGAATCCCCATAATCCTCAATTCCCATAAGGCCGGTAACGCACGTGTAACGTGGTGTTCCGGGTCTCCATGGGTGGCGCCGATTGCTTACCATCAGGTGATCCGTCGCTCGTTTACCCGCTTATCTCAATAAAAAATTGTATGCAATCCCACTTATTACCATGTAAATAAACTAACAAAAAGGAATCATCATGTAATTTTAATTACCAATTATTTATAAAAAAATAAACAAATTGAATCCAAAAATATAAATTTAATCCATTAGTAAAATAAAATTATATATTTATTTTAAGAACCCTAAATTTATTTATCGTATTATTTAATATATTATCGAACTAAAAATAACATCAGCTGATGTAACGCTTACATTACATTTTCAGTGACGTTCTAAAATTTTCGATAGTGATCTCTAAAATTAATTATTATCTATATCACAAGTATAGCACGCGCCGTTTCAATGTTTCCGATATAATATATAACACTATATATCTCCGCTTATTTATATAAAGATCTAGTCAACACACACCGTTCGCATTTATCATTTTGCTTAAAACCTCGCCGACATACGCACCTCTGCTTTATTACCTTATTCGAAAAATAAATTTATGAATAAACAAATACGTTAATAATTTTTTGAATAAATTATTTTGAATATTTTTTTCGGAACGTTTAAATTTATATTTTTATAAATAAATTTTGCACCTGTTTATTTTTTTGGACATTAATTTGTGTTTGTGCTAAGTTTTTGGAATAATGGCGTTAAGAATGACGGTGAGTTTATTTTATGTTTGTTTTTATGTGCTTGTGTTTAGTTTAATTATCGTCAGCGTTAATAATTTTTATTCTGTTATATATTTATTTTATCATCCTAAGGCATTCAAATTAATATAAATTGTTACTAATAAAATTTTAATGTACTTTTCTATAAATATGTTACTTAGGAATATTCTTGTGAGTAAAAGTACCTCCATATCATTAACTTTAGATAGTAACCGGCGTTTACTCTTTTCCTTATATAGAGATTTAATCATTTATTTAAATTAAAATCTTTTTCTATTTTCATAATATAAAATACTGGAATTTGTTTATAAAATGTAACTCTTAACATTTTTATTCAACAAATTATAACAGACTTTTAACCTACTTATAAAAGTATGAAGGCATTCCCAAATACTTTCCATACCACAATAACATACCAATATAAACATTACGTATCTCTAATAGAGTTCAAATTTCAATACAAATAAAAATACCTATATATTATCAACCTGGTCACAAAACATGATACCTAAAATATATCACGTAGCGACACAGTGAAGTTTTTAAGATAAAAAAATAATTGGTTGCCATGCTCCCTGTATTTGTATAAACACTATTGTACTATCTTAATCCAAACAATATTTGTTATTGTCTGGATCTCATATAAATTAAGATTCAATAACTATTAACGTAATTAAAAATCCTTTGCGTCATCGTGGAAGCTTCCAAATGGTCATGATTGGGTGTCTTTTCAATTTTGATTATCACACACACATTTATATACACAGAATAATATGTTTACTGAATATTAAACCAGCTACATCAGCTACGTCAAGAAAGTACCGGGAAAAGATCAATAACACACAATGTCTGTTATTCATCCAAATTTATTATATCACCTTCAAAGTATGCTCCTTTAGAAACGATACACTTGCGCCAACGAATAATCCATTAATCAAAACATTTGTTAAACGCTGTTTCCGGAATTGAAAAACATCAATTTTCGATACTTTTTTGACTGAAAGTAGATCACTTCCAGCGGACCTGTCTAGAAGTAATAAGAGGAGGCCAGTAGTCATTAGGGGGATTCAGTAGTGAACATTTTGTAGCTTATCATGAGGATGAACCGTAGATTGGAGTCTTAATATTAAGAAAAAAATAGCTCAGTTGCTAAGCCAAAGTATGTGCTATAGGTAGGTTGAAGTTGACTAATAGAGAAAATTTTCAGGATTCAGTCCACCACAAGTATCGTTATTTTTAATTATGTGGGCAGTAAAGTTTGAATAAACGATTCTATAGTTAATGCTGTAAACGTTACAAATTAAGATAGAGTAGAAACTAAATAACTAAAAGAAACTATAATAGCTAAGGGAACATTTGAGTTTGTACAAAAAGACACCTCATTTTTGACCATGACATAACATCACGCCTTTTTATCCCCGAAAAGTTAGGCAGAGGTGCACATTACGGCGCTTAATGCCACTGTATAATGTAACACCGATTTTTCACTATTTATGTTATGAGTCCCATATAATAGGGGGTGAGCCTTTTGCCATATACCGGACACAATTCCAGGCTCCGTGCTACTACTGAGATTTTTTTAACCTAGTATTATTTTGCCCGTTATGGGAATCGAACCCGAGACCCCTTGCCCGTATATTTTTGATCATGACCATTTTTTTAATGCTTTCAGCTTTTTCTTACACCAATCGTATTGTTAAGCAAAATATCATTGTTTAACTTCTTATAGCTGTCATCTAGTCCTTGGTTTTTAGTCAGTAAGAGTCTGACACTCCCTCCCGCCTCACCCAGGCGAGAGCAGTCATTCGATGATTTTTCCCCCTTAAAAAAAGTCCTTTCAGCCAATAACTTAATATTAATAGCTGTCATCTACTCTCTCCAGCCAAAATAATTTTAATAAACATACGAAGTAATATGGCTACAAACAAACACATTTATAAAAAACTTCATTCATAATATTTTAACCTTCCATGACATTTTTTTGGTCCATTTCATTAATTATTATCACATTGATAACTAACATTTTTAGACCCCAAACAGACAACAAAACAAAACAACTACATATTTTTATACCCCCGGTTGTCGAACTCTCGACATTCGGCATTTAGTATTCTAAATACGTATATATATACATATATAGGTATGTAATGTTTTCAAAACACTACTCGAGATGTAAATAGTTACATCTATGCAAATTACTGTTTCATTAATTTTAATTGGCTTTCATATATAGCTGTATATATATATATATTGCAGTGATTCATTGGAAAGAAATGTTAGTAACCTGTAATATCATATGGCCTTTGACCTAGCACGTGGTTCGCATTCTTTTGAAGTAATTATAAAGTGGGCGGAGAGGGGCGGGGCGTGGGCGTTTATTTTTTTTATTAATATTAATATAATGATGTATATTTTATAATTATATAAGTGATACGTATTGTCATTAGTTTGTGCTGTTATTTATATATGATAGTTAAAATAACTATTGAACAATTTTTAATATAACAATAAGTATAAGACTTATTTTCCTAACCTGGCAACCGACATTTTATAAATAATAATAATATTGCCATACATACGATTGAGTTAGAAGACTCTAAAACTCAATTAGTATATAATTTTAACACAAAAACTTTCGTTCAGTATACTTGAATCCAAACTTATATTTAAAAAGCATTTTATATGTATAATAATTTAATTCGAATTGTCAACACAATGATGCGCAGTCGCAGGTTTTGTAACAGGCACGCCTACAACGGTAACGCCCATCGTAAAGCTAGTGACGTAGCAACCATTATTGGCTTTGGTTTATCACAACTTGTTTGCAAGTAGGTTTTATATATACGATAAAAATAAATAAATTAATAGTAGGTATAACTGGTTGACAACAAATAATGTTTATTAGTGTTCATGATTAGTACTTAGGTACTAAGGTAACATACACATTTTTTTTTGTGTCCGACATATATTTAATTCTTTAAAGGTTTTCTATATCAGGTCCCATCACTAAATCTTTTTAAATGGATGATTCTAGTGCCCCAGTCAAGTCAAGTGCGAAGCAAAAACTGTCGTATCGTACTTTACTGCACCTTTATATTCTATACTAGCGACCCGACCCGGCTTCACACGGGTGCAATATGCATGTATATACATATAAATCTTCCTTAAGAATCACTATATCTATTAAAAAAAGCATCAAAATCCGTTGCGTAGTTTTAAAGATCTAAGCATACATAGGGACGTAAAGACGGCGGATAGCGACTTTGTTTTATACTATGTAGTGATTATGTATTTTAGACCTTTATATTATTTGATATTATTTATGAATAATAACAAACAATAATCCAGGCCTTTAAAAATCTTGTGAATTGCCCTTTCGTCGTGGACATGCTGCCACCCTGTCTCTTTTATTTTGCTTTTTTTTATAATGTTTTTTTTTGCTTTATTGTTGTTTTTTTTTAAATTTGTTATTTTATGTTTTTATATTGTTTTCTTTTTTTTGTTTTTCAATGTTTATTTTGTGTGTAAATTTTTGGTGGTCCATGTCTGGTGGCGAATAAATTATTTTTCTTTCTTTCTTTCTTTCTTTCGATTCTTGCTTGAATATATTAATGTGCAAAATGTTTTGTACTGATACGGAATTTAACAGTGTGAGCACTTTTGGGCCTTGAACTTGCTCCCAATTATTTAAATAATGATGAGAGTAGGTACACGTGTCTTATTATTCCACCTCTATATCTACACAGATACTGTCTGACTGTTTGTACAGGCTAGTCTCTGAAATTGCTGGACCGATTTTGACACGAATTTTATTGGCCGGTAGCTGATATACTAAGGAGTAACATAGACTACTTGTAATTTAGAAAAACGCAGATGAAGTTGTTGATATAGCTAGTAGGAGTATCAAATATTTAAATATCCATATTTAATACACGTGAAACAAGAATGGAGCCTAAAAATTGATCTTAGACTAAAAATAATCGCAATAATCTGTAGCGAAAAGATAAAGGCAGTCTGTGATGCAGGTTCTATCCGGATTGAAGCAGATTGGGTCAGCGCTATAGATCACTGAATGAATAACATAACGATAGATAATATTAGTAATTGTTACCATATATTGTAATTATGAAAATAGTTAATAGGATGTGGATTTCTTTACTTTTAAGTTTGTTTGGAGGTTTGAATTGACAATTATGGGGTTCTGAGATTATTCAGGTTTGTTAATTTGCGGGTAAAAATGACTACGGAACGAGAAGGGTCTGGTACGAGTAAAGTACCTTTTTAAAAACAAAATTAAAAATCTTTGAGTAGTCTAGAATTACCTGAAGACAGACAGTCATAGAACTTATAACATAACTGGTAAAAAATTGGTGTTAAATTTAATATGTGTACTTATATATCTTAAATGTACAATATATTGTACTGTTTGTAGTATAATAGTTTAATAAATTAAATAATAATCTGCAATAGGCTCACCCCCTATTACATGAGACTCATAACATAAATAGTGAAAAGTGGGTGTTACATTGTACAGTGGCATAATGTGCACCTCTGCCTACCCTTCGGGAATAAAAGGCGCGTGTTATGTTATGTAGTAATAATTAGCAAAATACTAAATATATGTCGTAATAAGCGAGTTGTGTGATATAATTTTTAGTCGATTGGATATTTTAATCGATAAGTTTCAGGTGTATCAATTAAACCTAATCGATAATGGGTTTTTTTTATATTGCAATAATAACAATTTAATAATCTTTAACGCATTAAATTTGTACATTATATAATTTTAGGATTTATATATACCTATATAAATGGATTAATTTTATAATTATGATGAATATACAATATAAAAAGCTTATGTAATATAATACTATATATATATAATATCTGATATATCGGTAAAAAATTATTTAGATTATTTAGATAATATAGGTAAGTATTAATTTATTTTTGATAATTTATATTGCATTGTTGACCTATGATTATGTATACTATAATTTTATAGATAATGGTGTCTGGCTTAAAAATTGAGAACTATTAAAAAGTAGATATCAGAATGGTAGGTACATTTCTTTGGCCGCGAACGAAAGACTTAATGGGTTGCCGGGGCTCAGGCTCGAAGTGCAGGAGTAGGAACGGGGTGGTTTTTAGTTAGTAAGAGTCTGACACTCCCTCCCGCCTCACCCAAGGCCGGAGAAACCATTGGATAATAACCCCCCCTTAGAAAAAAGGTGAATTTCTTTATTTCGAAATAATAAGAACGACTATTGAGTGATTACACAATAGTGATGTTTTGTGGCACAAAACATTACGCTATATTCAGTAAGATTAATTGGACTATCCAAAACACATATAATTATTTAAACCGAATTAGTTGTTCCGAAGATTAGCGCATTGAAATATTAAACAAACTCTTGAGTTTTTTTGGTGTGGACCTATTGCATGGGACTCATTAAATAACGGGTAAAAATTGGTGTTACTTTCGCTGCAAAGAGTATATAGTAATATAATATATGTGGTACCCCATATCCCTACCGCTTCAGGTATATTTTTTTCTCTTTATCAAAACATAACAAGAGTCTTTAAATCCATCCAAACCATAAGAATTACTGGAGTAGCGAGAAATATAAGGATCTGTCAAAACTACATACAAACTCATAGATCTTGACAGCACCGTCACAGTTTGGTTAGACAGAATGACACCTATCAACTTCGGGGATTAAAAGGTTTTACATTTTAAGTATGTGATTAAGATTTACCTATAACTAAGTTTATTTGTTCAGAATATCAGAGACGTAACGTTATATATAATATTACGAATCTATATATAAAGTACAGCGCAAAAACATCATCAACTGTTTTTTACCTTTAATTAACAAGTATTGTCGCGGATTGATAAAATATATAATAGACCCCAATTGACCCCGCTAATCAGGTTCTTATTTTTAATTATTAACTCATCTATAATGAGAATATAATGTTTGTATATACATTTTTATTTAGACGTTGATCACGTTTTTTTCGCTAAATAATTGGGTGAAGTATTGTGGCTAAAAACGTGATTTTAGAGGGTTTTGATTAGGTATATATATATTACGATGTTTACATGTATATAGTTGGTCCGTTATTACATTGGCAGATAGATATAGAAGTAAGATAGAGAATTAATCTTATGTCAAAATACTGGACAAATTATTAAAGATTCCGTGCTGTGTACAATACAAGCCAATAATTTTTGAATGTCAAAAAGATTATGAAAGTATTTGGTTTTAAAAATTCCTCTTTATCTACCTAGATAAAGAGGAATAGACTGGTAATGAAGTATAGTAATTATAATAGACTGGTAATGAAATAAAGTTTAACAATATGGTTAAAAATAGAGAATAATTTGAGGACAACATTTATATTATCAGTCTAAATTTTAAACTAAGTATAACCGAAAGTTTACATGTAAAATCTCCCACGGTACGCAGAGACTATGGAACGCCAATTACTACGACTCCTACATACCTCTTTCGCTTCATCAACAGTCATCAATCTTTTCATGCATGCTCGTCGGTTGAGAGTACTTTTAATTTGGCCCATCTTTAATGTATCGCTAATCTGGTTAGTATATGTCCGTTTAGGGCGTCCTCTATAAACGGCCAGTAAACTGAAAGTTTACTATTTAAAAAATCAGTTAGATGGTTCTGGGATTTCAAAAAAGAGAGCTACAGCCGTTTAGTTTATTTTTTTTATGGCATAAGCCGATAAACGAGCAGACGGGTCACCTGATGGTAAGCAATCGGCGTCGTCCATGGACACCTAGAACACCAGAGCCGTTGCAAGTGCGTTACCGGCTTCCTGGGGATTAGAAGCTTGAGGATCGTTGGGGATTCAAGGATTGGGGAGATTGGGAAAGAGGAGGGTAATTGGGCCTCCGGTAACCTCACTCATACGACGAAACACAACGCAAGCGTTGCTTCACGTCGGTTTTCTGTGAGGCCGTGGTATCACTCCGGTCGAGCCGGCCCATTCGTGCCGAAGCATGGCTCTCCCACACTTATAAATATAATTCACGTTATTATCAAAACGAAGTATACAATCGCAGTCGATGACTAATTATATACATGCTCCCAATCATAGGATGTCAATACATTTCTATTAGCACAGAACATGTCTATCAACCCCATCCAAAACAAAAACAAATGAAATCACAACAATATTATCCATGTTTATTTTCCTTGTAACACATTGCGATTCAAATCGTCAATAACAACCTGCTACTTATGGTACTCTGGCTAACTAGGTTACTTATTCTGAATAGTACGTAGCTAATCAGCAATGGACCTCAACTTGTCATCTTATCACGATTTACGACTGAAAAGCCCTCCTTATCTATAACATTAGTTGACAATTAGGTTACTATTGTACTATTGTTTTGTTATAGTAAACTTGTTTACTATTTGTGGTAAAGGGTGCGGCAGTTTGTATTTGGAAGTGATTTTTTTGATTGAAATTTCTTAAGATTTTGTTAAGGTTTTAAATAGAATAGAAAGATAAGTTTAATTCTACAATTATCCAAGTTATTTGGTGTCCGAAAGAAAAGTAAAGTAAAGTATTTTTAATACATCTTCAAATATTTGTCACTATTGTGAACCAAGAAGAAGTTAGAAGTTAATCAATATTAAAACGTATTTGTTTTATTTAGCACTTTATCACACTCGATTTTATTATTATTACTAGCTTTTACCCGCGGCTTTGCTCGCATCACAAAGGGATAAAAAGTAGCCTATGTGACATATACCAATACACATACAGCGCCATCTATACCAATATTTTTGTTTTCTCTCGGGAATATAAAATTTTTCTGGGTTAAAAAGTACCCTATTATTTAATCCGGACTTTAAACTTTACGTCTGCAAAAATTCAAAGCAATCGGTTTAGTAGTTACGGCGTGAAAGTGGAACAAACAAACAAACTCACTTTCCCATTTATAATATTAATATATAGTAGGGATTACCATTTATTTCAATCAATTACACATCTATTACACATAACACAACTTAAAACTATATCAAAATCACAAAAATAACACATCTCCCAACTCAAAACAATAATTTCACATTAGCCAGTACCTACATGAACCATACAACAGTGGTTTAGGAACAACTGAATCAGGGAATCAAGTCCAAATTAAAAGAAACATAATAAACTATTTGCGACTTAGAATACAAAAATTGAAGCCTCTTATTAAACTTATAAAAGAAAAAGCTGAATAAAATCAAATACAATATAGTTATTCACAAATCCCAATCACAAAATTCACAAATCCCAATTACAACTTCAAAAAATCTCCCCACGAATTGCACAATGACCTGTTTATTACAAAATATCTATTTTCTTGACCTGCTTTTGGTCCTGGTACATACCAGGTCACATGGTCATTATAGTACATAGTCAATTACGTCACGCGACCCTTCGCATGTCAAATATAACCTATATTGGTCTAAATAAACATTAATGCCCTATTTTAACAAGTAGCTTTTTATCAAAATAATAATTATTGCTGTTTATTATTTGATTGTAATGAATTATTGTTTTAGATAATGTTATTGTTTTGTTACGACATAGGGTCCCATTAGTTGGGTTATCGTATGGTATTGTGTTGTAATAAATTGTTTTGTAATTTTTTTGTTTGTTTATTTCTTTTTTGTATTGCATTTTATGAGTAGTGATGTTGAAGTTTTTGATTGGCTATCTTTTTATTCATATTTTTGAATTTTTATTTAAATTTTATTTAGTTCTACAATGCCTTTGATTTGTTTTCTTAATTAAAAGCAAGAGTATTAGTATAGTTTATAAAAAATAAATATCAACAAGCATTTATTTTCAATTTTCTTGCCTAGAGCGTTATATCTTCTGGACTGTTATTCAAAAAGGCTATATCCCATAATATTTTATTTAACCTTTTATTCTACCTCTTCGAAATCAAATCAAAGCTGTCCTCGACCAATACCTAAACTCTGTATATTATTGTTCGCAGAAAATCTCAACCGTCTGTATCCTGCTCATCTTATGCCTGGCGATCCTCGTCCGCGAGTCGAACGCACGACCCCCATGGCTAGCTCCTGGAAGCGGTGTGTTCACAGAGTCAGCTGAATGTCATACAGATGTAAGTTGCTAATTAAGACTACAAACGAAACTTTATTGAAGGCAAAGTGTAACACTTTTACCCCTCATGGCGTTTAATGTGTTTGTGATAGATATTCTAGAAATGAATGATTGAAATCGAATCCATGGTTCTAAACACATTATTAGGGAGCAATTTATATTGTTTAATGGGACAAACGCAATCGGCGTCGCCCATGGATACCTGGAATACCAGAGGCGTTACAATTGCATTACCGGCCATTTGGAGATTAAGAATTTGAGGATTATTGGGAATTCAGGGATTGGGAAAGAGGGGGAGGGGTACTGGGCCTCCGGTACCCTCACTCACATGACGAGATACAGCGCAAGCGTTGTTTCACGTCGGTTTTCTGTGAGGCTATATTTATATGTAAATACTTAATCTTTTTGTCGTTACCTACAACAAATTGGATTGTTGTTACGTATTTTATTTATTGACTGTTTTTAAATAATATAAGAAGAAGAAGCAGAAGATAATTGTGATATGACTAATAAGAATTGCATTGCTCGTTCCTATCTTTTAAGATTTTATATATATATATATATAATGGGCATGGACATCTGAGTTTGGCCGTTATCTCGCTAGGAATAGAGTCTATAGTTTCAAATTGTCATGAAGTTTCACTGAGTGATCGATTAATTAAAAATCAGTTTTGACTATTCAAGAATGAACTCGAACTCAGCGTATTTACCTTCACCTTTACGAAATATTTTATAAATATTATAAGATAAAAGTTAAGTAATACTCAAATTATCCACTGTATAATTATGCACAGCACACAAGGAAATATAAAAAGATAAAAAGCAATCAGATTCGCGATATTATTGGTCATAGGTCGAAAAGAGGTCTGTACACAATCAGATTAGCAAAATTTTTTAATATGAGTTGTCAAATATTTAATATTTACTTTATATGAAATCAATGTTTTCAGTCGAATACAGATAACTTAACTTTGTTAAAAAAACTAGGTTAAATTTTATCCACTGTTTATATTTTGCTTTCAAAATCTTAGAAATGGTTTGTTGATTTTTGTTTCCTTTATAAACAATCTTATCATTACTTTCTTGTGTTTTTAATTAACATTTTTGTTATTCGTAGTCCCGTGGGGTCAAAATATATTATCAAGTACCACAAGCAGTCATATATCATTGTCATTACGGAAGTCGATGACTTTTGTAGTATTTTTAGAGATAGCATAAATAAAATGTATTTATTGCATACACAAGTTAGATTACATGTAGGCATGGAAGCGAACAGCATTCACATAAACGCAAATACGGCAGAGGTTCCCGTGGGCCCCAAACTAGGCATAGCCTGTATCTTGGTGGCCCAAAGAAGCAAGAAGGTTAGAGCAAGATAGAAGTTACGTTAGTATTTCTTTGTCCTCATACATTATGAACCTACATTGCTGTGTGTCTTAAAAGAGCTCTAAAATAAATCATAACTAGTCTTAAAATTGCGATAGTTTAGCGAGTGTGGGAGAGTCATGCTTCGGCATGAATGCGCCGGCTCGACCGGAGTGATACCACGGCCTCACAGAAAACCGACGTGAAGCAACGCTTGCGTTATGTTTCGTCGTATGAGTGAGGTTACCGGAGGCCCAGCTACCTCCCGCCTTCCCCAATCTCCCTAATCCCCGCGAATCCCCAACAATCCTCAAACTCCTAATCCCCAAAAGGCCGGTAACGCCTCTGGTGTTCCAGGTGTCCGTGGGCGACGCCGATTGCTTACCATCAGGTGATCCGTGCTCGTTACGTATGCCATAAAAACAAGAGTAGAGCTTCATTATGAAATTTACTATGGCCGAATTGTGATCGGCCACTAAGCGTGATAGTTTCAAAAAGGCTGATCGATGTATAAATCTCAAAAAGAACCTCAAGGTAGCGCTAAAAGCAATTGGATTTCATTTAAGAAAGGTCCATCTTAAAGCAAGGGTAGGAACGGGGTGTTATAGTCAGTAATAGCCTGACACTCATGACTCAGGAGAATTCATCGAATGATTTCCCCTCCTCAATAAAATGAGTGTCATCAAGTATTTGCATTTACTAGGGTTGTCGAGATGATAAAATAAAGGCACCATCCCATCCTTTATTCAGTACTAGCTTTTACCCGCGGCTTCGCTCGCGTCACAAAAGGATAAAAAGTAGCCTATGTGACATATACCAATACACATAGCGCTATCTACACCAATAATTTTGTTTTCCCTCGAGAATATCAAATTTCTATCCTATTATTTAATGCAGACTTCTAACTTCATGTCTGCAAAAATTCAAAGCAATCGGTTTAGTAGTTACGGCGTGAAAGTGGAACAAACAAAAAAATAAACAAACTCACTTTCCGATTTGTAATATAAGTAAGGATTGGAATTCTTCCAGCTAATGATGATGAAACCTTGTGATAATTTACTCAACCACATTTCTTTTGTTACAGGACGAACTCCTAGATCTATGCCAGAGGTGTGCCAAGTTAACCAAGTCTAAATTGGCGTATCCAGCCTGCTGCTCCACTGACCTTCAAGCCAGGAAATGGTGTTCAGACTACGTGTATTTTGGTAGGGGACAGTATGATTTTTATTAATCTATTTTAGATTTAAGCTAAGTCTAAGCTAGGCTAGGTTAATTTGAATGTTGGCATGACTGACTGTTTGATTACTGGTTCGATGTGAAGCCATTTGTGCATTTAATTAGAGTAGATGCCTTCAGGCAGATCTGCTTTTAATATTGCAGTTTCATTAAGTATTTTCGTTGTTAACTTTTGAATCGGACACAGTTTTTGAAAAGTTTTGTAAAATACCTAAATCTCAAAAAAATTTAATAAATTAAAATGTTATTGACTGCCTCGTTGGCCGAGTGGTCGCAAGTGCGATTGCCGGGCAAGGGGTCTCGGGTTCAATTCCCGGATAGGGCAAAATATTACTGGGTTTTTAAAAATCTCAGTGGTAGCACGGAGTCTGGAAATGTGCCCGCTATATGGCAATAGGCTCACCCCCTATTACATGGGACTCATTACATAAATAGTGAAAAGTGGGTGTTACATTAAGTGCTGAAATGTGCACCTCTGCCAACCCCTTCAGGGATAAAAAGGCGTGATGTTATGTATGTTATGTTATGTTAAAATGTTATTTTTGTGTAAGTTATAATTTCATTAACCTTTTTTTTAAATAAATGAATTTTGGATTTGATTTTTTTAGTAAATCAGTAACTATATTGTAAACTTTTCAATCTTTGTGTGTATATGTTCAAAATAATGGCATCATTAAAACCGTGACAGTCATACCTAATATTTTGTATAAAAAAATGTAAGTATGTATTTTAATTATATTTACATTAAAATGTAGTTATTTTATAACGAAAAAACTGTACATAATTATAATATTTAAGTTAATTTTAAGATATCGTAATGCAATAAAAACCTAATGTTAATTAATTATAAAAAAATAGATGTAAAACATTGAAAACCAAGTTAATTTTAACAACAGTGTTATTAATCTTCAAGTCAAAGTCAAAGTATTTATTTGAAATATTTCATATACAGATTTTTATTAATACATTAAAGAAACACAGTTTTATTTAGTGAATTTTACCAGTTTTTATATTCATATTTTTAAACGAAGATGAATTATTAAATTTAATTCAATTTCCCGTCAATATGTAATTTGTTTTGATAAATAAGATTACATATATAGCTAAAGCATGTACTATGTTATTCAATAACTCAAGAAATGCTAATTATTTTGTTATTTATCAATATCCGTGTGGTCACTTCACGAAACACCAATTAACCTTAACTAAGATTAGAGTAATGAGCAAACTTTGACCAGTCGTGGGAACCGTGATTAATTTCAAATCATGTGATAGGAATTTCAATTTAAATAAACAAAATAAATTTTTGAAATAATTTATTCACAAAATTATATTTCAAATTATGAATAATAAGTTGTGAAATTTTTATTTCTTGTATTGTAATTTTAAATTAATGTAAAAGGATGCATTTTATAAATTATTAGAAAAAAATTGAAACAATCTAATTTGTTTCCGATAATGAACTGTGATAATAATTTTTTGTAAATATTTTCTTAATAAAAAGATTTTGTAAATATAGAATATATTTCTGTAAATTTTATGAATTAATTGATTTTGTAAAGGAGAAGAATAAAGTCGAGTATAAATCTGATTTTAATGTGTTGTTTCATTTACTTCTTGTGGAATTATTTTTTTAAGAGTTGGTATTTAGGTACTATAAAACATGGTGTTGTGGTGGCCCGGAGGGTAAGATGCCTGCTTCTTATGCACATATACATGAGGGTGCGATTTGGAAATATACCAACGGCAAGTGCCAATCTGACGTTTTCCGAGTTATCTGTACTTTCTAAGATTATTTAGAGGTAGACACCACTGACAAACGGTGGAGGAAATCCTGGACGTCTAATTATACGTTTGAAATCGCCAACTCGCAATGAGCAAGCGTGGTGTTTAATGCTCAAACCTTCTAAGGCTAAGAAGAGGAGGCCGCAGGCCTAATTACCTCTCCCTAGTCGCCGTCTCCCGGATCCCCGAATCCTTCACAATCTTCAAATTCCCAATTCTCAAAAGGCCGGTACCGTACTTGTAACGCCTTGGTGTTTCGAGTGTCCATGGGCGGTGCCGATTGCTCACCAACAGGTGATCCGTCTGCACGTTTACTGGCTTATGCTATAAAAAGAGGCTTTCCTCAGCAGTGGGCACAGGCAGCTGCATGCTGTAGATGTGGTCAATACTAACTATAAGATACAGCTGTCCTCTGTTAAAATAGTTCAAGTAGTCTCACCGTCCTTATTAGGCAATCCTAACACCTTTGTGGAATAAAAGGTGTTACTTAACCGACATCAAAAAAATAAGGTTTTTCAGTTTGACTGTGATTATCTCGCGATTGACTCAATCGATTTTGGTGCGGTTTCCAGAAAAGTGTTTTTGCTCACAAAATATCATCCCAAGTAATTGCGACTAGATAATGTAGGTAGTCTTTTATGGGTAGTCTAAAGAAATTAAACAACAATATAAAAATCCATAAATTAATTTAATAACACTATTCGACATATTATAACAAGTTTGTATGTACAAAACCTCATCTAATACCTTTAATATATTGTTTCTATACGTTGCAGAGACTAGGCGGAATTATCTCATTCAAAGTTGTTCTACATTGAAAAATAAAATACAATGTCTTAAATTTAAGGTTTAATTTTAAAAACTCAACAATCCAGTTTCATTGATATAGAAAAAAGAAATTTTTTACAACTCTATACAGCGCAAAATCGTAAAATTATGAAATGAATTCCGCCCTTGTCCTTCCACTCCGCTAGAGTGCATCTCTAGTATTTCTTTTAATTTAATTTACTTAGAAAAAATACAAAAAATATCAGCGTAAAATACAAACTACAGTATTTTTTCAATTCGGAAAAATATTTTTTTTACCGAACTGAAAAAAATGGCCGCTGATATTTTGAGATTTTTTCTCCCTGTTTATATTTACATTAGTACAACAGTTAAACTTATTTATTTACGATTTTTTTAGTCTCACAAATACCTATTTATTTAATCACGATTGTAGAGCGGTTAAAACTTAAGATAAAAGCTGTAGAGGCGCCATTTTGTAAAAAGAAACGGAAAATGTTTAGTATCGGAACCAGTACAGATTAAATTGAGACTATTATCACATTTACATTAACATTGTTATAAAAAGCGACGTTAAAATTAAACATTAATTAAAAAATAATAAACGTCACAAAATGTAACCTATTACAAAAGTTTTTATTCGTTGTAATAATAAATCGTACAAAAATCGGTGAGAGAAAAATAAAAGTAAAAAAATAAATGCCGATTGTGTATGGTTTGTTCGTTCTAAACATACTGTGAACACATCTATTCGATCGTGCAACGTTTGCACGATTGCACAATGTATTTTTTGTGCAATACACTCCCTAATTCACCTATCTTTGGATAGTCTTAGGTCTTCCGACTACTATTTTACACGATAAATGTAATTTACACTAAAGTTTATAAAGATACGGTTTTTTTAGATAAAAATCAACTAATCTTTGTAGACATTCCCGCTTGGACGGATATTAAAATCTCTATGTGTCGTCAACCTACATGAAGCCTTGCTGTGCTGAATGTCCATCTTATAGCTCAAACATAAAACCAATATCATCAATCTAAAAAACAACTTAACTGTCCCAACCAATTAAATTTGAGCTATCAAACAGACATGACTATTTTCATTACTGCATTCTCTGATAATAATAATAATAAAAATTAGAAATTATACTAAACTGGGTGGATTTTATAGAATAAATAGACTTCTTAACTATGAAATGTGAGTAATTTTTTTCGTATCAACTGAATACCCTGTTGAAAAAAAGGGGGGAATATCTTACAATAGAATTACATTCAAGTAACTGACGAAGGCATACATTCGAAAATTTAATTTTTATTTACCATTGAAAATTTCTTAATGAAGTATTAATTAACGATCAAACAATTATCAATAGATTAATATATTTAACGGAATAATTTTGATTGATGCGTGCATAATACCTGAATGATATGTTATTTTAAATCAAAGTACAGTACCTATAATGAGTCTTATAAATATTTTGATTGAGATAATTTTGGTTCATGTGGCGTTGTTATCAATGCATATCATTTTTTTACACTTACAATCCAATTGATTGTTTCGGAAATGATGCATAACATGAGATATTTGGCATATATTTATCGGAAAACTGATATAGATAATTATTAAAAGTAATCACGTAATCAAGTATTTATTGCACCCATAATGTACACATACAGGTGGTTACACGTGTACTGTTCATTGAGCCTTATGCAACCAGGTTGTTCAGAAATACGGCAGTTGACAACTAGTCAAATTCAATACTTTTAACGAAACGTCAAACGATACTGTTCTATGAATTTTGTACGAAATACCAGCTTATGACGTCATCATCTTTTCACGTCAAATAGCACACTTATATCTGAAGAAAATGCAAGAATAAATCGAAAATTAAGTATATCGGCAAATCAATGAATGAAAGTGTAACTATTTTTCAAAATTTAGTTGGATTGAAAAATCAAAATAATTTATTTTTGACCCAGAAAACTACCCAATTGAAACGAAAAAACTTCAGTAACCTGTAGAGACGCCATTTTGTAAAATTACCCGGAAAATGTTTAGTATCGGAACCAGTACAGATTAAATTGAGACTACTATCACATTTAAATTAACATTGTTATAAAAAATGACGTTAAAATTAAACATTAATTAAAAAATTTTAAACGTCACAAGATGTTACACCAATTAGAAAAGTTTTATTCGTTGTAATAATAAAACGTACACGATGGACTGTCTCGTTGGCTGAGTGATCGCATGTCCAACTGCCGGGCAAGGGGTCTCGGGTTTGATTCCCGGGTTGGGCAAAGCATAACTGGGTTTTTATAAAAATTCTCAATATTAGCTCGGAATATGGAATTGTACCCGGTATATGGCAATAGGCTCACTCCCTATTACATGGGTAGGTGTTACATTGTACAGTGGCATTAAGTGATGTGCACATCTGCCTACTCTTTCGGGGTTAAAGTCGTGATGTTATATTATGTTATGTAATAAAACGTACAAAAATTGGTGAGAGAAAATTATAAATAATTCAAATAATTTCAATTCACGTGCCGCTGTTATCAATGCATATATCGTAAGTTTTAACAATTATAATCCAGTTTATTATTTCGGAAATGGTGCATAACGTAAGATAATATTTGGCAAACATTTATCGGAAAACTGATTTAGATTATTATTAAAAGTACCTACACGTGTATTGTTCATTACGACTTATACAAACAAGTTGTTTAGAAATTGGAAATTCTTATTATTACAAAGTTCTAGCTTCGTCAGTTCCTTGAATTTATTTGAAAAATTTAGAAAGATTTCTGCATACATTTTAATTCAGAAGATTCAATGTTTCAATTTATTGTATGATTTCTGTTTTTAGAGACAAATAAAATAGAAATAGAAAAAGAATAAATGAAATATTTTCGAGAGTTGACCTAAAATATAAACTCATTAAGCACAAATTTCATTGTAAAATGAGAATTGAATCCTTCGTTAATTACATTTATAAGTATAAGAAATCTATTTTTATTTACATTTTTAAGACAACTTTCTAAAATGTACAAATACAGGATAATTTTCAATAAACAATTCAATTTTTTAAAACTAATCACTTGGTTGTCGATAATTTAAAATTTAATGACAATTTAATTTAATCGAATCACAATTTAATTTAATTTAAATATAAATAGAAAAAAAATGCAACAAAATTAATGACAAGTCAACCATTTAAATTACTTATTACAAAAAATACATTATAATCGTCAAACATTTATGCATATAAAAGTTAGTTAACTGGATTACTTGACACAAAAAATATCAAAATTACTACTTTAATAAAAGTTTATATTGCAAATTAAAATAGTAATTTAGATAATACATTTGATACACTTATTACAATTCTCAAAAAAAAAACATTCAAAAAAGAAACGAGAAAAATTAAACAAATAAAAAAAAACATTTGAAACATAATTATTGTTTGACAACCAAGTCGTATCAAAGCATTTCTTCGTTTTGTTTATCATAAATTTCCTGTAATTTCTGTTGCTCTTTGACTTTCTTCATTTGAGCGTAAATTGATGCTGCTTTGTAATTAATAGGCCCATAATCTTTCATGTCAGCGTCGGCATAAATAAATTGGTCTTCTGGTCTGAACGGCTGAGAAAAATAAAAAAGAATAACGTTAGATTTTTGTTTTTAAGAAAAAAAGTAATACATAGATAAAAAATATCAAATACAATGGTAATATGTGTTAAGTGCGAAGCGTGTTCATGTTAATTAATTAAAAAGTTTTAAAAATGATTAGTGCTAAAAAATTATTAAAAAAAAAAAATTGGCAACGATTAGTTTATTTAACCAAAATTTATTTAATGATTTTTTTTTGTGTAATAAGCGATGAAATGGAAATCTAAAGCGTGTAAATTTAATCCGAAATGAATTTTGAAAAATTATTACCTTTGACTTTTTAAAATATGTACGTGTCACTCTTGGAAAAGCGTTCCTAGAAGAAAATATAAAAACGTCACAACATTGCGAGTACATGCTACTCGGGACCTCATACATTTACTTACATAAAGTTGCCTGCCTACCCTTTCGGGAATAAAAGGCGTGATATAATGTTATGTAAGAACATATTCTTTTTTTAAAACGTTGCCCCACATGTTTGTATGTTTATAAAGAGTTGCTCAGTGCGGGAATCGAACCCGCTACACATTACGCGACAGCCGGAAACCTAGCCACTGCGCCAACCTTGCAGTAATTTTAATGCAGAATGGCAGAATTACATTTCAATTAAAACAAATATGTTAAAAATAACTAAATATGCGAATGAATTAATTTCATGAATTATTACTTATGCATGTAAATAAATGTATGAGCAAATAATCGACAATTTAGGCAATTTTATTATTTTAGGCTTTTTTGTGGTGGAACGGAAAATTCATGCTGTGAAAGCAGGTAAAATTCCACTTAGGCACATATTACCATTAATATTGACTTAAGAATTTATCGTCTTCAATACAAAAAAAGAAAACATTGACAGATTTCAACTTAAAAAAAAAATTATGACTTCATTAATATTTACAAAAAAGATGACTAAAAAAATAGTCTAATATAAAATACTGAATTCAGAATTTGAATCTAATAAAATACGAAAGTAAATTTGATAAGTTTAAAGGCTAATTTTTTTTATTAATTTCAATCGCAATATTAATACGATGTGCCTTTTCAAATCAGCCTTTAGACTTAACACCATGAGAATCATTAAAACTCACCTCTCAGACATCAATCTCATTAAATTTCAGAGTTGCATAGTCACTCCTAGGCTGCGCGTGACCTTTCCTCTGAGCACTAGACGTATTCTTATAACTAGAGTTAGTATCTTTGTTAGCACTATCTGAACCTACTGTATACGTATCATACAAATGTCTATTAGAATTGACAGTGTTCTTAAACTTCATATTATGGTTACCTAAGGCTAAATCAGCGTACACTAACTTTTTTTGTTTAGGCTTATCATCCTTTGGACCCGAATAATTCGAGCTAAAATTCTCCGGACCCAAATTTCTCGTTGAATTTGATATGTAGTTGCCTTTAAGTAACTGCAAGTATGATTTCCTTTCTGATTCATTATATTCAGGCTCAGGGTAATCTGGTTTTTGATAATTATCGTACACCCCGACACAGGAGAGTTTTTCTCTTAAACTTTCAGATTTTTTCAAACGATTCAGTTTCTGACTATTCTTTTCTCTCGTCCTGTTTAATGTTTTCGTGTAGTATTGTGCTTCTGATGGCTGGTAGATTAAAGGCCCTATCGTGTTATTGTAAGACCTCTCCTGATCAACTGGGATTCTTTTATCGACCCTTATTGGTTGAAAATAACAAAAGCTATGATGTTTTTGAAGAGGTATTTGAAAATTTTTCTTGTTCTTCCCTTTGTTGCTTAAATTTGTGAAGTGATTACGTTTTTGCATGTACTGTTGTTGGAGTATGTTAGTATTCTGAAAAGGAAATTAGTTTGTTAGGGATTAGAACACACACGTTAGCCAGAAGGAACATAAAATAGAAAATAAAATGTAAGAAGCGTTATACCTGACCGTTATCGCTGTCGACTGTTAGAGAGCTTTGCACTGAATGACTACGTTTTACAACTGATCGCTTTGGGATTGGTTTCTCAGTTAGCTTTGGTATTTGTAGAGTTTTATTTGGTGATATGACTTGTTTCTTTGGTAATCCAACTTTGTTGATACCCTCATCGTTTAATTGCCTCACCACCGACCTTACTAACGAAGTAGATGGCAGTGTTCCAGACAGATTTCTTTTAGGAGTAGCTCCTATAATATTTGGCTTAGAAATATCAGCCTTCACTTCATCAGAATCTTTTTCTTCATCACTGTCATCTTGATCATCCTGTTCAGACTTTAGGATTTCAAATTTCATTTTGGATATATCTTCAGCAGATTTTGTAGGACGCACTGGAGCATCAATTGTATCAATTGATTTTGAAAACTTTGTATTTATCAAAGGCATAGAAAGATTGACATAAACATGATCTGTTTTAGAAGGTGATTTTAATGGAGATATTTTAGTACGTGGAGCTGGTACTGGGCGGTTTAAAGAAGTAGTAGACTGACTTAAATCAGGTTCTTCATAAACTTGTATAGAATCTGTTAGATTCTCAAACTGTTCTACTCCAGTTATGTTAGATTTCACTTTGAGCAAAGATGGACAGTTAACATATATGGAATCCTCAGTAACAGGACTTGGGTTTTCATTCTTATTATTATTATTTATTTCATTGAAATTCTCTCCATATTCCGTATTAGGGTAGAATCTTTCAATATTCCTTTTTCTCACAACTCTCATAGATTGGAACTGAGGGGATTTCCTTTGGACTCTTGTGTTTAATGAGGAGAATTTTCTCTTATCACCTTCAGGCATTTCTTCGTCTATTGTTGGGAATTGTTTTAAAAATGAAGTTTGCATTGGTGGTAGATATGGATTGAGTAATACTGTCTGATGTAATGGATACATTTGTTGTATGGGAGATAGCACTGGTATGCCGTAAGAATATTGTGAGTTTGAAGCCATAGGGTATCCTATAGCGTTTTGAACGAATGGTGGGCAAACCAGTCTTGGTGTGAACGATGGGTTTGTAGTCAGTTGTTTTTGTAAGGCTTCTATTCCTTTTGAAGTTTTAGGATTCGTTTCTATTACTCGCGGTTGTATCGCCTGTACAGGCTTTACATGCAAATTAATAAAACATGAAACAAAAGAAGAAACAAAATGCAAATTATAATTAAAGCAAAACAACACACATTACAGTTAATAGTAACTTTGTAAGTATTGGTAGTTGAATGAGTTTTGTGAGGTAGTCTTTCAGTAATATGATGCTTTATTTATTATGATATAAATAATTAATAATAAATATAGCTATAAATAATATGATTATTGGATTTTTTTAAACTTAAACATTAATTTTCTATTTAGTAACTTGTTACATTTCATGTCTATAGTTCTTTATTTTGATGTTTCAAAAGTGCTTATTCTTTGAAACATCAAGGTTTCGTTTATGCTTACATTACCGAAAGACCATTAATTATTTGTCTAGCTTTAATACATTTCCATTCTCATCATCATTCTTCTATGTAAAACCAATAATTACCTTATTGGGAGGTTGTTGTAGCCCATGGAACGGCAGGTTCTCGTAGAGGCCTGGGTTGTCCGTTCCAAGGTTGCCGTTTGCTGCATTATCTACGCCATTCGAAGGTGGGCCTGTGAGAAATAGTAACACATCAGTATTATGAATTTGGTTGAGAATTTTCTGTATTATTGGGATTTGTGACTTCTTAGTTATGAACTTGATTTTATTAACTTCGTTTGTAGTCAAAATAGACTGAGATGGAGAATCTTGAAAGACGCCCTCTGTGTTATCAAAGGGTCATAGGAATTTGGACTTTAAATCACTTTTAGCTTTCTTAAGTTATGAACTGTTTGCTAATTCTTTCTTGTGTCTTTGAAAATAAAGACGAAAATCCACAGACACACAACAAACAAGCAAGCATGCTCTACTTACTGTCACCTGGCTTTTTCCGTTTTCTCGTTGTCTTCGGTTCTTCGTCAGTAAATGGCTTAACTTTAGCACTAGTCGCGACTATTCTATCAGGTCTTTTGAACGACACAACTAAAAACATGCGAACATTAAAAATAGCGCAAAAATAAGCATAAAGCGTAAAGTGTGCAAAAAGCAGAAGCTGTGGAAGATTGTCAATTTAGATTGGTATCAAAATATATTGGTCATAAATTGAAAATCAACAGTAATAGTCTGACCTATTTCAAGATAATAAACTTCTCATTTCAATGAAGACAACCAAAATATTTTTGATTTAGGTCGAGATAGACAGGTGTCGGTTAAGATGAACATAATAATAATCGATTTGATGGAGAACTGGGATAAAATATGTAAGTCAGAATCTGTAAGTAATGCCAAAGGCGATGTGAAAGAAACTATAAAATTAAGTTAAGTATAATATGGCGAAAACATTACAATTATGTCTGTATATCTTGACCTTTTATTGTAAAAGATTTTAAGAAGATAATTACGGTGGAACTAAAACTATTAACATGCTTGAGCAATGTAATGTTAAAAGCATAGTTTGTTGAAATGAAGAAGATTTTGAATGTTTTACAGATTACAGTATAGTGTTTGGTGATCATGTGTGAGGCAATAATGCAAACAAAAGTGTAAAAGGCGTTGGAAAAAGTAAAAAAGAGAAAGAACGTATAGTTGAAGATATTTGTCCGATTGGACAAAATCAAAGAAGGAATTTGATGTTATAGAATAAGATAATAGGTAATGTTGATGTCTTGATTTTGTTTACTAAGATCAAAGTTCTTGGTTATCTTTACTAAGTTGGGGAGAACTATTTGCTAAATATGTTTGTATCTTAAGAAGAAATCAGATGTTTGTTAGAGTGAGTAAAGAGGTTTTTTGTTACATGATTACCAGATAATTCTACAGTATTGCCTCATGGACCATCACCGTATCAAATATCTTGAAGACAACTACCTCCTTCAGTGACAATTATATTGGGTTTCTCACTTTGAAACAGTGATTTCAGTCGACTCTTTTGTACCAGATATCCCGGTCTATTCATACTGACTAGTGACATAGCTCTTTTATTGCTTTTATTTATCTTTTTATATTTTCCACTATCGTCATCAGAATCTTCATTCTTTCGTCTGAGATTTTTGAAAATACCTGATACAACGTTCTGCCTTGGTTTCCCATTTTTTTTCGAATATTCTACTTTAGGGGGCGATTTATCTTCAGTTTTATTTCTTTCCAACAGTCCTAAATTAGATTCTTCGTTGGCTGCTTGTAATCTTGCTTGATTCTTAGGACTTAGAGTATGATTGGAATTCACATGGACTAATACTCCTGGTTTCAAAGGCCATTTGCTTGGTGTCACGACAGTTTGCGCTTTATTACTATCAACTTTGGGTTCTGTTTTCGGGGTTTGTAGCTCTGTTTCTTGGTTCGTTTCTGTTTGGGTCGTGTTTTCTGGCGTTGCTTGATTCTCCTCAATTTTGCTCATTTCTAAGTTGTGTGGGTAGCTTTGAGAGTCGACTAGTCTTGTTCGGTCTGAAGTTTTTGGACTGAACGATAGATTTAGACGAGGTGAAAGAGCAGGTAAAGCTTGCGATATAATTGACTGTGCGATCGACACTTCATTGATACAGCTACCGTCAGGACTGATTTGAAAATAAAAAAGAAATAAAAATAATGATTATGTACTACATGCAGAGGTTTGTGTATAAGACATGTTATACAAAAACGTATGTATGTAAATGTATTTTAAGTTAATAAAATTAAAATACTGTTAGCGTTTACCTAAACGAAAATGTTGTTGATCTAATCCTATCTTACAAAAATTATAATTAGAAGTAGATGAAACTAAATATACGTATTATTATGGGAAAATATGTAAATATAATCAATATAGATAACCTACGTAAAACGTTAAAATACATACAATAAAATAAATACAACATAATATATGTGAAAAATAAATACAAAGAAGAATGCTTTCAAAGTGTCAAATCATGCATCACTCAATTTAAAAAAATACTTGTACAAAATTTTTGACAATTTCTTCCGATACTACTGAATATAATAAGTATTCTACTGTGGTCACACTTTACGCCAAAATCGAACTTAAAAAAAATAGCCAAATAACAGCGTTTAAATAATAAGAAAGCACTCCTCCAACTAAAGTGGATTTTTTCAAATATTATTAATTTTTATTTTTTAGCATTTTTTTTGTCAAAAATGTACCTGAAGTATTAATTGTGGTCAATCTGAGAACGTCCGGGGTTAGTGCGGTTAGGAACCTACACATTAATAATTATTAATAGGTAATAGTACACAATAATAATGATAATAAATATATTTTTGAAAACCAGTGTTATTCTGTCAAGAGTATAAAAACATGCTGCTAATTGTTTTTTTTTTCTAATTTTTCAAGCCCAACTTTATCGCTAAAATGTCAATGAATTTTTATTTATTGATTTGACAATACGAAATAATACTATACTCAATAATAATATACACTTGCCAATCGAAATGATTGGCACTCTTATAAATAGACAATACTCAAAAGCTAATACAAGTAATGTTTTCAGCAAAAATGTTGACAATGGTTGCAGTCAAATCATTAAATAAATGAATTAAAATTATCAAGACATTTTAGCTCAAGACTTTTAAATCAAAACTATCAGCCGTTGGTCCAAGCACAATTATATTATAGCAGTTCACTCAAACTCAAACTCAGTGACCTTGAGCACGTCGGTGACCTTCTAATGATAAGGTCTCGTCATTGGCATAACTAGTGGTGACCTTGAGGGGGGCATGGATAACGTATGCCATGAATCTGCTCGGACCAATGGCGTAGCTGCAAAATTGTATAATCATTTACTACAAAAGAAAATACGTTGGCACTTTTATTTTATTTCTTGTGTTATTATTATTGCAATATATATATATAAAATAAATGTGTTCATAAAATATAATATTATTTTAGAAGTGTGATTAAAAATTAAAATAAATAATAGTTAAAAATGATTTCAATTTGATAGACAACTAAGGTTTCTAGGGCTATTTTTGGATTTTAGATAAACATTCCTTTTTGGACTGGTTCTACACTTTCAGGATTATTTTTCTATTAAAATAAAAGGTATTTTCTATTGTTAGAAAGTTTTCGGCTAAGTAAAATATTATTTTTGAAATAAACAAAAAAAACAGCTAGTGTTGTGAAAAAAGAAAGTAATGAACTAAAAATAAAACTTTCTAACAATACCTAAAATCGAAAAATAAATCTATAAAGACGCATAAAGTAACTAGTACTAGACATTCTAGAGAGACAAAAAAATATAAAAAAATGAAGAAAAAAAACTTACTTCTCGCGCTCCTCTAATTCAACCGGATTATTGTCTATATGTTTGTATGTTAGTTGACGATGTGTGTTTAGTAGCAGCATCCGGGAAAGATAGGATGAAGAAAAAAATAAGAGTTAGTTTTCGCAAAACAAAAAAAAAAACTAACGAATAATCGCAAAAATATGAGTAACGTTATGTTTTATGAAAATGACACAACTAGTCTTAATGAGAATAACAATATAATCGAAGATAGTTTACAAATGGTTAACATTGAAAAAGTAATGAGATAAAAAACATTGATCTTTTGTTACAATGCTCGAATGATAAAGGATGATATTCAAAAAACAGACACTGTATTAGTTACTCAACATTTAGAATTAAGACAAAATGTAAAAGACAACACTAAAAATAAAATCAAGCAAAATGTCGTCAGTCCATATGACACGTTGGTATATTGTAAGAATGAACTAACCTTAATTGATGAAATGTTAATAATTAACAATTTACAAAACAAAATTGAATCATAAGATGACTTTTATAATGAATAGATTGTTATAGCGGCTAGTGAAGAAAATGTAGATCAGCCACTGATCATATTGAATAATATTACAGGTCATGATGACAATATCGTAAGAAAAGTTACTTTATCATCTAAATATAATGATTATGATACACTATTTAAAGACCTACGTGCAAATTATTTAAATATAATCATGACGCTTGATACAACTTGCCACATAGACCGACAATAGCAAAATTTTGATGGACTTACATTTGGACTTGGCCCTCATACGCCGGCAGATGCAGATGATAATGATGCAGAGGATGACGGTGATCACCAAAATGGCGAGAGCAATCCCTCCAATGAGAAACATCTTTTGCTGGTCACGCCACCATACCTTATTACCTAGAGAAAACCAGAAAGAAGGTCAGACTTCGAAAAATATTTTTAAAAGGATGATGACATAGTCAAAAATAAATCTATTCGAGCGCCTAAAACATATAAGTGAACATAGATTTCGTAGTTCTATAAATAATTTAGAAAATATATTCTACTACGCAATAGAGTATTCCGATACAAAGTTAATAGGTATGGAATCGTTTTTGAAATTTTGAAAACGTTTGGTATTTGACTAGTTGTCATCATCCCTAATTATAGTAGTAAAGGCTTTTACGAATTCAAACTCTGTTTATTTTTTGCTCCAATTAATTTGCCCTTAAGCAGTTATTGTTGTTGCACTTCATATTCAATTTCAAAATAATTGTTAATTTGTGCAAAAGAGCCGAAAATCTTTTTTGCTTTCTGTATTGTGCGAGATAAGCCAATGCGTTTCTTTTTAATTATAGTTACTTAAGCATCAAATGCTTTATACTTCTTTTAGATATCAATAAGGCAGTAGATATTATGAATACCGATGTTCTTGACTTCCAATTTACCAAACTTACCGAAGCTTTCCAAGTTGGCTGTAAACCAGAATAATTTGTTTACTACACTGTTATTATTATATTTAAGTTAATAGAGACCAATTGGATAATTAATGACAATATTTATAAATATTTTGTAACTTCAAATTACAAATACAGTTTCATTTTGGTTAGATACTCAACAATTCTTGCCAAACACTTGCCCATATCTGTCATTCCTCGAATGGGTATTTAGAAGTGTACACAGAGCTCATTAACTTTTGAATGTTCACTTCAGTCCACTAAACATTAGGCATAATTCTAAAATCCATTCTTTGGACAGAATTGTAAAAACCCAATATGATTTTGCTCACACTTTTAAAAAGCCTATGAAATAATATTAATTCTGAAAATTTCATAACATTGATAGGCACTTACTGCTAGCATTTAGAAAATTCAATTCCTATACATTTTAAATAAGACACTCACCCATGACGTCTCGTTCACAAGGTCGTGACATTCCAACGGAGTTGTTGGCGTAGCACAGGTACGTCCTGTACACATCCACGCTGGTACTCAGTCTTAAGAAGCTCTGAGCTCCTTGCTGCCAAATCTTCTCGTCTGTCAGGCTGTCATTGTCATTCTTTAGCTTCCAGAAGAATGATACCTGGGAGAAAAATAAGTTATAGAAATACCACTTCTTATTTTGTTAATAACAGTGTGTGAAAGTGTTATGTTTTATATTTACCGTTGAAGGATTGGCATGTGCTGTGCAGACCAATACTTGAACTCCATCTATCTCAGATTGTTTAATGCCACATTCAGGAACATCTGAAAGTGTATAACATTGCTAATTAGTAAAAACTTTTACCGAAGTTTGGGTTGGACCTAACATGTTACCCTGTGGTACACTTAACGACTTATTTATAGTAAATCGCAGAAACAAAGCTTACAATTTAATTATATTAATGAAATAATAATCGGACTTAACTTTATATAACGTTTTATAAACACACTACAAGTATTCAATGTCAAAACATAAAAATTATTTGATTAACAGTATCGAAAGCTTAACATAAGTCATACAAATTTTGCTTACACATGACATCAAGGAAAACAGGGGTGCTGACTGATCCGTGTCTATTGTAAGCTTCACAGGTGTAGTTCCCTCCATCCTTTCTTTGGACTGGCCCCAACAGTAACGTGTTTGAAGATGAGAGGATCAGGGAATTGTTGCTGTTTTCCTTCGCAGATACTTTGCTTGGTTGTTCACGACGCCACGTATAAGAGGGCATGGGGAAACCTCTGCAAAGTAATATTAAATATTAATAACCGATTTTAATTATGGATTTTAAATGTTTTCTGAAAAAGTAATGTTTACCTTGCAGCACACACTACTTTAGCTGGGATTTCATTTTCAGTGACTTGTACGACTTCAGGTGTTACAGTTATATTTTCTGGTTCATCTGTAAGTAATAAATATTTCGCGTAAAAAAATTAGACTACATTGTTCTAATAAAAATCAACGAATTTTAAACTGGTTTTAAAATATCATGAATAATAATACAACATCTTATATCGTGCTCACATTCCACGGCAAATTTAGTGGTGCTGTTCACAGGTGGTCCTGCCAGGTTCCTGGAAGACCTGCAAGTGTAGCTGGCAGTATCTGCAGCTCGGTCTAATGCATGTGACGGCCAGGCTGACATGTTCCAGTGCTGTGAAAATATAAAGAGATTTTAAGATGTAGTTTTAGTCAAACACCGACCGAAATATTTTTTATAATTGACCAAGTTGAGTCACTAAATTGCCTGATAGTAAGCAATAATGTGGCCAATAGTCTAGGTATGAAATTCACTTGTTTCACTTGTTATTAAAGTAGACTTACCAAAGTAGACTCAGTAGCTTCGAAATCATTCCTATTGACTTGTGGCTCAATCTTTCTCTCCACCACGTAGTATCTGTCCGTCTTCTCCGGGTCTATTACATGACCGTCCTTCAGCCATTGCACGCTGCATAGTGGTGCGCATTCCACCGTACAGGATAGGGAAATATTCTGGAAAAGATATTAGATCATAGTAAGCTTAGGTTCTATACCTTTCCATATTAACTACTGAGAATTTTAATAATTCTATTTTCAAATTTCGATTTGAACTCTATATTCAGTAATGGACTTATGTGTTGATTAATGGTCGGGTTTGGAAATCTCATTTAAATGTACTAAGAAAGAACATATCAATAACAACTTACTTGAGATTTATACAAAGCGCCACTGTAGTGGTTCATCGCGTATTTGAAACTTGGTGGAGCTGAAACATGAAATAAAATATTATTAGATACGTTTCCTTTGGGATTGAAGTTGAACTGGATAGGTAAGCAAAAAAAAAATGTGTGTTTATTTTTGTCTTTTTTTTTGGGGCAAGCCCGGCACAACCTCCTAAAACCACTGCAACTCCTGTAAACCAGGATCTACAGTAGATACAACCATGAAAACACCGGAACACTGAAATCCGGCGCGTCCCAGGGACATGAGTAACTGTCTTGGTTCCCGCAACGAAGTGAATCAGAAGATATTGTAAGAGGAGAAGAAGAAAAAAAATATTTTTGTCTGTAAGTGTTATTTGTTCTCATTATACTCACCAAGTACATCAATAGAAGTGTAGGCAGGTTCTCCCCCACCGCCAGCATTGATACCCCAGCAGGAGAAGTTGGTCCTATGGTCCAAGGTCACGGGGTCTATCGTCCAGTTCTGGGACACGATGTCACTTACTGGCCTACCGCCGCGGGTCCAACGGAATCTGGTGGAAGATGACAAGGTCATAATGCAAAGGTGCATAATAAATATGTTTTAAATGTAACAGTAAATTTTCACAAGGTAAATTATAGATCCAATGTAATACGGAGTTGAGCGTCGTGGGCAATCGAAGACGTCGTGCGGTTATAGACAAATTTTCGGGAAACAATAAGAAAATCTTTAGTACTTTTACTACTTGGCCACTTATCCAATAGGCAGATTTTAGCCTATGTGACACATACCAATACACACAGCGCCATCTATACCAATACTTTTGTTTTTCCTCGGGAATATCAATTTTTCCGGGTTCAAAAGTGCCCTATTATTTAATCCGGACTTCTAACTTTACGTCTGCAAAAATTCAAAGCAATCGGTTGAGTAGTTACGGCGTGAAGGTGGAACAAACAAACAAACTCACTTTCAGATTTATAATATTAATAAGGAGTAAGGATGAGTATACTTTTCAGAATAAAAAGTATTGTCTAATAAATATTATAACCTACTTTATAAATACATTCAATTTAGTTTCATTTAATAACTCAGAACTTTGAAGAGCTTGGGCGTTACTATCTGTGTAAGCGTCCATTTGGTTGTTCAATGTGTCATTTCCAAATATCTATTTCGCATTATTAAAATTTTGTTTAAATTTGCCTAGTTATTTTTGCCCAGAAACTGCTATGTGGGTAGAAAGTTATAATTTATAGAAATACTTTTGGTTAAGTATATTTAAATAAATCAATCCGTGACATCCGTGACCGCTTCGTTGGCCGAGTGGTCGCAAGTGCGATTGTCGGGGAAGCGGCCTCGGTTTCGATTCCCGGATCGGGCAAAGTATTACTGGATTTAAAAAAAATTCAGTAGTAGCATGGAGTCGGGAACTGTGCCTGGTATATGACAATAGGCTCACCCCCTATTACATGGGACTCATAACATAATTAGTGAAAAGTGGGATTTACATTGTCAGAATGTGCATACTTTTGGGGATAAAAGGCGTAATGTTATGTCAATCCGTGACAGTCCCTTGACCGGACTAAGAGAATAAGGACAAGTAGGTAAGGGATCACATTTCAGAAGGTTAAGATGAGTCTATGCTCTGCCTGATGCTCGACCTCTGCCAAATATGTTTCTTCGTCGGTCACTGATGACACTGGCGGAAAGAGTAGGGCTTTATCTTCTTTAAACTGTCAAACACCGCGAGGACACTGGTGACCGCAACCTATCATTCTTTAATAGTGTCTATAATGACGGTACTCAAAGGGTTAAAGAAGTTAAAGGGTTTCATTAAGGACTCGTACCTATGAGCTTCAGGTCGTCCTCGCTCCTTGATGCTGCAGCTGAGCACCAAACTCTTGCCTTTCACCACACGCCACGGAGAGTATGACAGCTTAGCTGGCCCAGGAGGATCTGGAAAATTAATGGTCATAGTCATTGTACCTTGCAAATATTTATTTGATGTTCATCTTTATATATATAATTCTGATGTGCGTGTGTATGTCATTGAACTCCTCCTAAACGGCTCGGCCGATTTAAATGAATTTTTCTGTATGCGTTTGAGTGGCGCCCTGGATGGTTTAGATTCCCCAATCAGCCCGCCAGATGGCGCTGCAGTCGGTGTCTAGGTTGGTTATCCTAAACGGCTGAACTAATTTGAATGAATTTTTGTTCAAAAAATTCAAGTGGATATGCAGGACAACGTCTGTTGGGTCCGCTAATGTTCACATAAAACTGAAAAATGTCAAGTAACTTAGAATCCCGTCGGTTATCTTGTACAATTGGAAACTTGTTTACTCTTACTAGCACTTCGTAAACTAAGACTACCTCTACACAAAGACTAAGATGCACCTAAGGACGTTGAACAAAAGGCGGAAATAATGCCACTTAGAAATGATTGAAGTACATTGCACATTATGTGTAATAATAGGTTACGTTATCAGACTCAAGAAAATGCCAGATGTCCTTCGTGTCAATGTGTGTATTCTGCGTGTAAGTCTATAGTAGCCAGGTGCTACAGTCGTTGCTTCAGAAGAAATGTGTTCGCCTTGGATTTTTTTTAAGGAGGGAAAACCATCCAATGACTGCTCCTGTCTGGGTGAGGCAGGAGGGAGTGTCAGACTCTTACTGACTAAAAACCACCCCGTTCCTTCTCCTGCACATCGAGCCGGAGCCCCGGTAACCCGTTAAATTCTTCACAACTCCGAATCGGCATCAGCCCTATTGGTCTCCATCCGTGAATTGGACCCCATCCGTGGAACTTCCTTGGATACACCCATAAATTAGCCAAAAAATCTTGTTTAAATCTATTCAAAATATTTATTGGACCATCCTTATTGGGTATTATAGAAAGTCTTTCTTTATGTCAGTTAGAAGAAGAAGGTTTACTTACAATTGACAACCAGTTCAGTCTTGGCACTGACGTTGCCCCAACCAGCATAGTTCTTGCCCTTGCAGGAGTAGTTCCCGTGGAAACTCTTCGTCGTATCTTGGAGTAACAGCATCGAAGGATCTACTTCGTTGCAGAGGTTCTCTGTAAAGTATAAAATGTAGATTATTTAAAATGAACTTAGCTATTTCGGAATAAAGTCTCTTTTATGTGTACCGGTGTCTTTAACATTACGTCATAAGATAAGTGTAATACACAGCGTACACCAGACACTATTAATTAAAACTTGCTTACTAAAAAGACATTTTTGAAAATTTCAAAATACCCGCCTTTCTTAGTACATTAAACCTACTATATGTTTTGTTGTTACCCTTTACATCACTCAGCCAATGAGGTAGACCAATTAATATTTTAATACCCTTAATCAAATCAAATCAAATCAAATCATGTTTATTTGCTCAAGCACATGTGTACATACAATAAACAATAGCATGTAAGATAGCGGGTAGCAGTGAAAAAAGTTGGAGACATGTTTGCCGTATACAATGGCGTGCAAATTTAGTAGTCACTCATAGTGATTGCGAACTAACCGACTTCTTTCGAATGTGGAAACCTTATTCAATTTAAAATATTTTAGCCTTTAACTCTAAATAGCCCTAAAGCTGAAAATACAAATCCATCATACCTTCGCCTTCAGTATCGTTGCATTCAGGCAGATGTTTCAGGACCTCTCCATCAAGAAACCAGATGACTTCATCCAGAATAGGAGGGTTTCCTGACACCACTTCGCAGGTCAAGGTCACATTCTTATGGTCCGTCTCCAAGATCGGGCTTGGAGAGCTCATTGTCAATCGGACTTGAGGTTTGACTGAAATTAAAAGAAATTAAGTTTTAGTAGAAGATCTGTGTTATAATATTGTATGAAAAAATGTTGATTGAATGTTATAGTATTGCGTCTGTTTTCTGCATTTTGAGTTGTTTTAAGCATATTCTTGCCCTTTATTTTAGATAGCTACTTCCGTGCGGTTTCACACGCTCTGCTCAGCTCCTATTGGTCGTAGCGTGATGTTGCCTATAGCTATCCTTGATAAATGCGCTATCCAACACAAAAATAATTATTCAAATCAGACTTGTGGTTACGGAGATTAGCGTGTACAAACAAACAAAAAAACAAATTCTTCCGCTTTATATAATAGTATAAGATAAGATATAAGATTCTGCCAATCATCAATGGTCCGAGACAGACTACAGGATAATTGGACTATTGCCTTTTTTGCATCGGTTTCTTTTCCAGGATTAGCAGGTGGGTAGAAAACCACAGTTTAAAAGGATTAGGTTTATCAGAGAATGATTGTCACTTTGTAGGCGAGAAAAAAATTGATGGTGATAAATTAACGTCCTAATTTATGCCATCACCATGTTATGACATTGTAATAACTAATTTTCATTTTAATGTCCGTCTGGTAGATTCTTTTAAAACATTAGACACGTATTTTTTATTTTCTTACAGAAACTAAAACTTTCGATGATATATTGATTTGAAATGTCATATGACGTCACTTCTATGTAAATTTTATAGTTAGAAATGACGTTATAGCCCCCTAAACTTTGATTCGTTATATTTAAGTATTGTTTTCTTATAGGACAAAATAAAAAAATACGTGGCTAATATTTTTTCATTACCTAACTTATGGACTAATTAGATTTTTAATTTTCATACCCCGTCATCATCCCTATTCAAAGTTAGCAGTTAAGAAAAATATGGCGTCAATACTTACACAAAACGTTAACATCAATACTCTCTTCACTGGATCCATTGCCCACTGCATTGCCCAGGACACAGGTGTAGTTGCCCATGTCTCCTCCATTAGCATCCAGGATGATGAGGCTGTGCTGGTCCGTAGTTCCACCTTCATAGTGACTGGTGTTCTGTACTGGCACGCGTTCGCCGTTGCGGTACCTGGAATAAAAACAAGTTAAGATTGTTATGGCTGCTGTTATACCCTTAGGTGCTGATGTGATATTCCTATATATGGTTTCCTATTATTAGGTGCGTTCTTAGTCTTTTCTACGCCTTTTTTTTGAGAGGGAAAAATTTTCTCTCGTCTTGGATGATAACTTTACTTCGGCGTTATTAGGTAGGTAACTTAGATGGCAAAAACAGTCAGTACTAAAAACCATTCCGTTCCTATACCTGCTTTGAGCTAGAGCACTAGTAACCTGTTAGGTTATCGTCAGTTCCAGGTTTCTTTCAATACAAGATCATACAATACAAGCAGGTCAGGACCTGGTATAAGTTAATTGCGTGTAATCATTTATTCAGACTAGGTCAGTCAAACGAGTACTGCTAAGTCCGAGCTACTAAGTTCAAAGTTCATAAACACATAAAATTAAAAATAAGTAGTTGGACATTACTTGTCATTATTTCAATATTGATATAAGGTGATCGCGACGTGCATTACCATTCATAGTTTTTTTATTCATAGGCAAGGCACATCAGAAATTGAAACTAAAGGAAAGTCTAGATAAAACATATTGGTTCAAAAGATATGATAGTAGAAAACTGGTAGGGATAAAGTAAGACTGCTAGATATTTTTTTCACTTACCAAATGACACTTTTCAATGAGGACGGATTGCTTTCGTATTCGCATTTGAGAAGTAACTTGGCCCCTTCTATTACTGTTATATTCCTCGGCTCCACTCGCACGATTGGGGGATCTGAAATTGTATTTTTATAGCTTTATTCAAAATTCAAGGAGCATGAGAAATGTCAAGTATGCACTGTTGGAATTATTTTCTCCTGCACATCACCTCAATATCACTAAGACTTATTTTTTAATTACTAGGACTTGGAAGTTGTTCTAACTGAGTCACACAGTCATCACTCAAATTGTAGTCACTGAAGTGTTTTAAAATAATCACTGTTTTTAGGTGGATTCGTGAAAACAATAATTAGGTCCATTTGTGGAACTCATGCCCTTTACAGATGCTGATATTGGCTACTGAGATAGTTCTCACACTCTATTTTACAATTTTTGGAGAGGAAGACGACAGTTTTCTTCTCCAAAAAATTACATTAAAAGGTTTTCTCGGATACCAGAAAAAAGATCCAAAATTACAATCTCGATCAAAATCAAGGTTTTCTCTTATCATTTATTACATCATCAACTCTCTAGCGAAACCTCAAAACCTAATCCGATTCCTCCAATTCCAAACCCAAACACGCAGTCACAAAGTCTATAATACAATGGCATCATATACGTACACCAGATTTCGAGTTCCCTGGTAGCATGCATCGGTTGGTCCTTTGTCTCCAGAGTCACTTCGTTCGCAGCCTCGCAGTGGAATTTGCGGCCATTTTCAAAACGAGTCGCCTCGAAGGTGAGGTTCGATTTAGTCTCGAATGTTGTGTCCTCCTATAATAGAAATATATGTATATGAATATTAAGTAAAATTTGGACTGATTATTAGTAACATAACATAACATTAAATCTTTTATCCCCCAAGGAATAGTATACAATGTAACACCCACTTTTCACTACTATGTTATGAGTTCCACGTATTTTTTTTTAAAAACCCTGTCATACTTTGCCCGAGACCCCTTGCTCGGCAGTCGCAGTTACGACCACTCGGCCATCGAGGCAATCAAATTTTAATATGAATATTAAGTCAAATTTGACAATGGTTTTTTGTAACATAACATAACATAACACCACGCCTTATACCACCGAAGGGGCAGGCAGAGGTGCACATTACGGCACTTAATGCACTATACAATGTAACACCCACTTTTCACTATTTATGTTATGAGTCCCATGTAATAGAGGGTGAGCCTATTGCCATATACTGGGCACAAGTACAGACTCCGTGCTACTACTGAGAATTTCTAGTGATAAATAATATATTAAAGTAAAATGATAATTAATCATCCATCAACTTTAGTAAATTTAAGTGAGTTAAGCCTTAAATCTGTTGTTTATACCGGAGTTGCTGAAATAGATAGAATAATAAATCTGTAATGAATATTAAAGAAGATACTACCTTCGTTAATCATAATAATAATTTACCTCTACTCACTTGAGGTTTTAAAACATTATTATAATTTGTTAGGAGATTATGACTAGTCTTTTAGTCATTGAAAGGGTAGGCAGAAGTATTAGCAGGGACTTCGATCTGATCTGATCCAACTTTCAGGGATTTCAATGGACCTAATCAGAATCGAAAGGCAGTTCAAATCTTGCGTTGTTGCTAAGAATTTCTAAAATAGAATACACAATTTTTTTCACCTGATCTTAGAACCGATAATTTATTACATAGCAGTCGCGCTTGCATCGTGATGCACGATAATTGTAATCAAGGATTTCAAAAATTACAATGAATCAAGTACTTAATACTTTCACGACTACGTCTAGGTCAAAAAATCTTACGAGTATAAAGTTATTTATCCCAATTTATCGAAAATTAACTGCAAAACAACCTTATAGATAGTTCTACCAAAACTGACGTCACCCATAAAAGATTTTTGTAATAACAAAATTACTGTTAGGAGTTGAAAATTTTAAATTCTCCTCACCCGAGGGGACACAATCTTAAAGTGACTGTCTTTGTGTAACTTTAGCGCAGATGTAAAGTGTTCAGAAGTGGCTTAGTACGTACCTAAGTAAGTTTGAAAAAATGCTTTAGACTACAACAGAGGTTTTCTTTAGAAAAATTCTGGTTCAAGTTGTGGAAGGAGAAAAAATTGATGTTTGAATTTTTGTATGGATAGTTTTTGAAAGTGTTTAATTCAAATTGGTGTGCAGCTAGCTTATTGTATTAAGCCATCTAGATTATCTACAATGATAGGCAAATTGGACTATGAGAACTTTGAAATTGAACACATTGAATTTGAATTTAGATAATTGTAATTAAAGAATACAATGAAATTGAATTACTATTACATGGGACTCATAACATAAATAGTGAAAAGTGGGTGTTACATTAGACAGTGGCATTGAGCGCCGTAATGTGCACCTCTGCCTACCACTTCGGGGTTAAAAGGCGTGATGTTATGTAATGAAATTTAAGTGTGGGAGAGCCATGCTTCGGCACGAATGGGCCGGCTCGACCGGAGTGATACCACGGCCTTACAGAAAACGGACGTGAAACAACGCTTGCGTTGTGTTTCGTCGAGAATGAGGTTACCGGAGGCCCAATTACGCCCCATAAATTCTCCAGTCTCCCCAATCCCCGAATCCCCCACAATCCTCAAATTCCTAATTACCAAAAGACCGGTAACGCATTTGTAATGCCTCTGTTGTTCCAGGTGTCTATGGGCGACGTCGATTGCTTACCATCAGGTTATCTGTCTGGCCGCTTATCGCATAAAAAAAACTGAATTACCTACTTTTCGCGATTTAGGAATTGAAATTACTGGGTCACTGTTGTGGCTTTTAATACTTCTGTTCTGAGAGAATTACTTACACAACACATTATTTTAGTCAGTCAAAGAAGAATTTCTTTGATGCCTTCAGGATTTTAGACAGAAATTTCAATGGATAAATCCAGCAAAAGGTTTAAGATTTTTTTTCTATTCTAATGTGAAATCACAAATAGAACATTTATAGAGTAGGCTGCGCGACATCGCCGCGACCGCACAAGCTGCTCATGAGGAAGAACCCTTACGTGGTTCATAACTAGTGGAGCTTTTCTCAATATTTTTAATAAATAATACATAACATACATAACATCACGCCTTTTATCCCCGAAGGGGTAGGCAGAGGTGCACATAATGCCACTGTACAATGTAACACCCATTTTTCACTATTTATGTTACGAGTCCCATGTAATAGGGGGTGAGCCTATTGCCATATACCCGGCACGATTCCAGACTCCGTGCTACTACTGAGAATTTTTAAAAAACCCAGTAATACTTTGCCCGACCCCTTGCCCGGCAGTCGCACTTGCTCCACCACTCGGCCAACGAGGCAGTTTAATAAATAATAATAAAATTTATTTTCAAATATAATAGTCTAGAAATATACAGTTTTGTTTAAAGCTATATAAAGTTTAGTATGTTCAGTATGTTTCACGATAGTTTTTATAAAAGAACAGTTATAGTTACAGTTCTTTTAACTAGGCAAATCAAAGATCTATATATATGACCAAACGCCTAACCACAAAATAAGCTGCCAAACGAACCGTATAAAGTTTTATTAATATCACCTAACTTATACCATCAACCAACTTGTATTCTGTAGTATTAATTCAGAAAATCCCAAGCGGCTCTTCTATGAAAACTAACTCGGTGAGTTAGCCCGTTTTGCATTAGCAATTTAGATTCTTATTAATTAAATATGCATAGAAAATAACAAGGCTCAGCATGTAGCGAAGTAATCGTCCTGTATGTTTGTTTGTTAACGAAATTTGTTTTAAAAATACTTTCGTTTTGTAAATTAAAACATTTTGTACTGCTGTTGCTGTGTTTTGTTTTTCTCGATTTTGTTTCTTTGTTTTTGTTTTTTTTTTTATGTTTTTTTGTGATTGCTACGTTCGTTGCGTTGATTAAATGCAATGGTTGTGCATTTGGTAAGGTTCATTCTCGAGTAAGACATAATGATATAGAGTTGTTTGTTTTCAAATTGTCAATGTCTATATTCTGTATTGCGCACGTTTTTTTATGGATCGAGTCGGTAAACGAGTCAAAGTCAAAGTCAAAGTCAAAGCATTTATTTCAATTAAACCATAGTTTGGTACTTATGAAACGTCAAAAAATACAAAATAAATAATAATCTGTCAGTCAGTCCGTCAGTGAAACTAGTTGAAGCTAGGTGCTCATTCCAAAAAGTAGATTCGAATGGAGAAGAACGAGCAAGAAACTCCATTCGTTACTCTTTTTAAAAAAAGTATTATCTACAATGTACGAATTGATTCCATTGACCTCAAAATCCAATACTGCAATAAAATTATCACTGAAACCGATCACACTAAATTCTTAGGACTCTGGTTGGATCGAAATTTGCGATGGAGTTATCACGTTGATCAATTAGTAAAGAAATTAAATCAATATCAGTACGCTCTACATAATTTAAGTAAAATAGCCTCTCATGAAGCAGTTCTTAGTGCCTACCATGCGTATGTATCTTCGACGCTACGATATGGCATCATATTTTGGGGAAATTGTACAGATAGAGAATTAATATTTAAAACCCAAAAAAATGCTTACGTGCTGTATGTCAAATAAAGGTGACTGATAGCTGCCGACCATTTTGTTAAGCTTGAAATTATGACAGTGCCATGCTTGTATATTTATGAAGTTGCACTATTTGTAAAAAAGCACATCCATTTGTTCACAACTCTAAGTTCAAAACGCATCAGAACACTATCCTAGTCAAAACCATAAATCCGCATTATTCACTAAGAGTGTTTTGGGAATGGCACCTAAAGTCTTCAATAAAATTCCAAGTAGCGTACGAAATATACCTGATTTAAATAAATTCAAACGTGTCGTATCCGATTACCTTATAAAAAAAGCCTACTACTCAATAAATGAGTTCCTGAACGAAAAATAATTATTTGAGTGTGAACGATTTGTTTGATGAACAGTTGTCATTAATCGTTAAGGCTTGACTGCATTATATTGTAATATGAGTATATTTGTTAAGTTATATTAGTGGAATTTAATAGTTTTATAAGATGTTGATCTCATTAGATATAAGATTTTACAGTTATAACTGTTACTATTAAAAATAATACACTACTTGGTATCACTTACTAAAAACTGGGGAAAACTCTAATATTAATTCGAATTGTTTCAGATACATATATATAAGTATTCAAGTGAATCTTTTTTATTTTTTAAATTTTAATCTCATATGACATTGATTTTTACATTGACATTCTTGACTTTAATTAACCTTTGTTTCTTTGTAAGTATTAATTCAATTAAAATATGATATATTAATATTTGTACGCCAAGTAAGGCGAAACATAGTGTAACTAAACCTGTTTTTAACATAAGAACATCCATGTAATACTACCTATGTTACAAATAAATAAATGATTATGATTATGATTATTATGATTAATGTCTCTGATACATATTTCAATACTGTACGCATATGTAAGAACAATGCAAAGACACGCTTGACGCATTATACTAATAACTTACTAAAATTAAAAAAAAAATATAAATAAATAAAAATCTTAAAGTCCAACATGGTGCTCACATATGCATACTGAGTAGACGGATAACCCGATGGCAAGTAATCGGCGCCGCCCATGGACACCTGAAACACCGGAGGCGTTACAAGCGTGT